GTATGGTACTATGTTTACGTATTAACTTTTTTCCACATAATTTAATTGGCAACTTTACCCAAAAAAATAGATGCTAACTTATTCAAATTTCAACAATAAATTAATCATGTCATTTATTGGCACTAGTTTTTTAATTTTAATAAATAAAATTGGATGCATAAATTTTAAAATATTTTAATTTTATTACAGTTAATTTGATCACAGTGACACTAGTGAATTGGTTTTTTTTTTTAAAGAAAATTTTAGGTGTTATTTTAAAAACTGGAAGATGACAAATCGAAAAAGCCAATGAGTCACAATTTCTTGTGATTAAATTGGCTAGGCTAACAATCAAATTAATAACATAATAATTAAATAAAAATAATATTTATATGTGTATATAACATTACAACTATCAACAATGTCACTTTTAGTTTAGAATTGTCTAGTCATAACATATTGAGTTTTCTTTTATTGTTATGTATTTTTCATTTATCTTATTAGTCTTCTTAAGACAAATGAGTTTTCAATTTTCTCCGCAGTTTAATTTATGTAATGTTAATAAATAAATCATGCACTTAAAATTTTACTATAAAAACTTAGAATGAAGTTGAGATTACTGGGATAAAAAGAAAAAATTGAGAATAATCTTTTTAAATTGAATAAAAAATTTTATTATTAAAGCAAGAGTGCAAATAAAAAACCTGGTTAAAATCCATCCAACCGTTTCAAATTTTGGGTCTATCCAACCCGCCCGATTCAAAACAAATCAATCCCCAAAATATATTAAGAAGTCAAACTGAACCTTTTTTTTATCCTAGTGGCAGTCCTACAAGTCCAAGCGTCTGTTGTCCATATGAGTTTTAAAATGCAAATCCCAACTCAAGGGCTCTAATTACTAATACCATGACATACTTTTATATCAAAAGAATAATTATAAACTTACTTGCAGGTTGCATATCAATACAATACTCATGTACTTGGTAATGAAATTTAATGCCATGATTTTATGAATTTTGAACTAAATTCTTAGCAAATGAATTAACATTTATGGCCAAAAACCAGTAAATTTATTTTTAAAAATGATAATAAAATCTCTTTAAATTATATAAATGACAATCTGATCTCTTAAAATGTCATAATTTCACTGAAGTTTTTAAGAACTTTTTTATTATTAATAAATTTATATAAATAACTAAATTGTCCTTGTAGCAATATTAGAATTTTGACATGTGAAGTTGTAATTTGCTGTTAAATTATTGTGAATATAAGAAGTAAAGTTGTGATTATTTAAACAAAATTTATTATCATTACTTGCTATTTTCAATACTTCTAGCAATATCAGGAATTTCACATGCGAACTAGTGATTTGTTATTGCTTTATTGCAAATATAAAAAGTAAAATTGTGATAATTTATGCAAAACTTGTAATCATTAATTTTTATTTCTAACATTTGTAGCAATATCAGCAATTTTTCATACAAGTTTGTAATTTATTGTTGCATTTTTGTTAATATAAGGAGGAAAGCTGTCATTATTTAAACAAAACTTATAATCATTTTATTCTCAATAAGACCAATTTAGTCATTTATATGAATTTATTAATGATAAAAAAGTATCTAAATACTTCAATAATATCATGGCATTTTAAAAGATCAACATTTATATAATTCAAATAGATTTTATTGTATTTTTTCCTTTATTTCAAAGCATTGCAGTAAACTTATTTATATGACATCACTATATGAAGTGGTAAATAATTTGTGATTTCATTTATTTAATTTAATTGAAGTTAACGACGTTGTGAATATTACAGCTGATCAATTTGTTATTATAGGAAACAACAGCTGGATCAAACCCTACACGCCTGCGCCTACCCCCAGCCTCACTTTTCATATTTATTTCGTACTTTCTCGTACGGTTCACGCACACACCGTCAAAATTGAAAATTTAAATTTTCATTCTTCAAAAATTAAATTTTTTTTATTTTTAGGGATATAAATAATAGATTTGTGTGCAAAATTTTTAGACTTAATTTGATTAATTTAAATTCTTTTATTTTTTAAATAAAATAATCACTTACTAGATATGAATTATGATAGTAACACATTTTATGTTTATTTTTAAATTTGACATTAAATAACCAAATGTCAAGAAGTAGTTTCACATAATATTCATGAATTAAACACTAATGCAACTTATGGGATATAATTGTTAAATTTATGAATATCAATGTCAAAATTTAGAATGCTAGTATCAAATTTTGAAACGTCAATATCAAAAAAAATGGTAAAGAATTTTTCTTATCCAAAAATCAAATTAAATTCATCTTTTGCAAAACGGGAATTTGAAAGTAAAGAATTTTTTACTCTCAAACTATTGTCATTATCCTTATCTATGATTAAAACTTAGGGATTGAAGACTTGATAGTAAAAATATTTTTTAAAAAGGACTTAAATGTCCGGCAAACGACGCAGGAAAAAAAAGGTGAATATAGGGGCTAACATACATAACATTTAAAATATGTGAAGATTAAATGTTGATGTTATCAACAAAAAGGAGAAAATGTCGATTTTTAACTAGGTCCTTTTTTGAGTAAACGAAAAAAAAAATCATTTTATGTTTCAGATTCTACATTTTTTTAGGAAAAATAATAATAAAATATTTTTAAATTATATAAATAATAATTTAATCTCTTAAAATGTTATAATTTCACTAAAGTATTTAAAAAATTTCCTGTTATTAATAAATTTATGTAAATAATCAAATTGTACTTGTTGAAAATAAAATGATCATGAGTTTTAGTTAAGTAATTATAACTTTTTTTTATATTCACAATAATATAATAGCATATCACAACTTCACATGTCAAATTTCTGATATTATTACAAGAAAAATTTGATCATTTATATAAATTTATGAAAAATAACTCAGTCCCTCAACTATGACTCGACGTGGCTCAGTCTCTCAACTATGACTCACCTATAACTCAGTCCCTTAACTTTTGAATCACTCACAAATTAGTCTTTTAACTTTTGTTAATTTTTTTATGTTAGCTTATATCTCATATTAATGAGCAAGAGGAGAGTATTTTAAAATAATATATGAACATTTTTTTATCTCTCTTATTTGATAAGAATTTTAAAAAAATTAAAAAATAAGGACCGAGTTATAGATGAATCAAAAGTTGAGGAATTGAGTCACAACGAGTTATAGTTAAAAGACTGAGTTGCAGCGAGTCATTGTTAAGGGACTCAGTTATAAGTGAGTTAAAAGTTGAAGGATTAAAAAATTAATTTTCTCTAAATTCATTAATGACAAAAAAAATTTCAAAAACTTTAATAAAATTATGACATTTAACATTTTTCCTTTTTTAAAACATAAGGAGTGGACTCGATAGAAAATTAAAGAATATCTCCCCTGAAGGTGTTAAATATCAACTAAATTGGATAAGTAACAGGAGTCTTTACTATTTACACTAATTTTGTTAGTTCATATTACATAATAAATTTCATACTCTAAACTTTTTCTTCTGTGTTATAATTTGGCTAGAGAAGTTTAGATCTTTTTTCTAACTAAATTTCTGAATGGGCCCTTTCCCCAATTTCCTAAAACTTAGTTTACTTAAATAATTTAGATTGATTAGCTGGTATAGTCCATAGTCGTAGTACTAGCTAAATGTCTATTGTTTCTCTGTTTTCTTTTTTTTTTTAATAAAAAAAAAGTGTAAGCGTTTGACAATGCCATGCATGCACGTGTATGTGTATTTTTTTATTAAATAATATAAGATATCGTTAGACTGTCTAATTTCTCACAAGTTTTCCATTTGAATTAATTAATGATTATCTCAAAGTTAACAACAACACGTTTTGAGGAAAAATTATTTTCAACAATATTGACCAACTCATTGTGAATAGATTAGTCTGAAAGTTGAGTTAAATCTTCGGACTATTCTAGAAAGAACCAATAAGTGAAATGACTTCGATGTGTTATGTGGTAGGTAAGTACAGCACCGCCCTTATTATAGCTTGTTTTTGAAAATGGTGAACATTTTGATTTACTATTTAGTATTTGCCAACAGGATTAGAGGATTAATGTAACTCATTGAATTGATCTAAAAGTTTATTATTTTTATTTCAAAATTTTCAGCAGTAACATTAACAAGTCTTATTCTATTAGGTAAGTTCAGTTATATAGATTGCATGATTTGCAAGCTTTCAAAAGAAAATTTACAAGTGAAATTAATAAAAAATATGCACCAGTTATAAATAAACGACAAAGTTTGAAAGCCCCACTTGATTCCAAATATAGGGCAAACATATGGTAGTTAAATTATTTTCAATTTTTTTTATTTAGATGGAATGGCACTTACAGTGTGAGATTTCAAGTCCATTTGCCATCTTTCACTTATAAAGGAGCTTACATGCTATTAGATTACAAAGCCATTAACAATTTTTTTACCAATTTTACCCCTCCTTTTTTACAAGTTATTAACATGCATTTTTTGCTACAAATTTGAACCCGTGAATTTAATTAACTGATCATCTGCCTTATAATTAGAATGGGAAAGTATATATATATATCACTAGATATTTTAGTATCAGATATTTTTCACTGGGAATTGTTATTCTTCCCCCTAACTGACTGGGATCATATTAAATTAAATATTAATCACGTGGCTATTTAATTGCATGGAACTATTTCAGTCTTAAAAGGTTGTTTTCAAATGCCGTCAACGTACGTACGTATCACAATTATTCAAATTAATAATAGAAAAATACAAATTTTGGCTTCCCCGTTCATTGCCAGCAGTCTTCCACTTTCGTAACTACTGCGAAGCTCACTTCTTCTTTCTCATAACGTACTCATCATTTCATGGCAAACAACACTGCCAACACAACAATATACTGTACATGGACTAACACCACATTTACCCACATTAGCGTGTGTGGGTGTGTATATATATATTGTCACTTCTACGTTCATACACCTTCACTCTTTTCTTACCGAACACTTTTTCATCTGAGCATGGAAGAAGAAACCAACACCAGCACACAAGGATGTGTCATGGATTCTCCAGCTCCGACATCGTCATCGTCTTCGTCGCCTTCTTACCGGGGAGTTCGCAAGCGAAAATGGGGCAAATGGGTGTCGGAAATTCGTGAGCCTGGCAAGAAAACTCGGATATGGTTAGGAAGCTACGAGACGCCGGAAATGGCTGCGGCGGCTTTTGATGTTGCGGCTTCACACTTCCGGGGACCGTCAGCCCGGCTTAACTTTCCGGAGTTCAGCGGGGTTTTCCCTCGGCCGGCAAGCTCCGAGGCGGAGGACGTCCGGTTCGCGGCTCAACAAGCAGCGTTGATGATCAGGAGACCGTCGAGATCAACGAGGGAGGCCGAGGGCGTTGGTGCAGCTCCGGCGACGGTGGGGCTGTCGCCGAGCCAGATTCAGGCGATCAATGAATGGCCATTGGATTCGCCGAAGATGTGGATGCAAATGGCTGAACCTCTCACGTCAGCGTTTGATGAGTCTATGGCATTACATAATAAAGATGAGGATGAATCGGAGTTTACAAGTTGGGAAGAAATACAGGATGATTCTTTATGGGACTTTTAATTGAATTAATGTTCGTGAAGATATCTAATAAAGTTGTAGGTGATGATTTATTTGGAAGCAGAAGAATTCATCAATTATGGCAAATTTTAAAGTCCTATTCATGAGTTTTCCTCTGCTTCTGTAAGTTTACATTGCTGTACCACAATGTAAGAATTTAATATAAGCAAAATTTTTGTTATGTACTTTCAAGACTATTAAAATATAGTCTTTTATTATATATATATATAGATGCACGTGATTATATATAGTCACTGTTTAAGTTCATTTATGTGCATGAGAGCTCAGAGATTGTTTAGAAAATATTAACATGTTGTTCAATGCGATAGGACTTATTCCAAATTTCCCATGACTAAAGTGACAAGTCTACACAGAGATTAATATGCAAGCATAAGTCAATTTTAAGGTTTAAGGGTCTAGAAAGTATAAATACTGTTTATAGCAGATTGATCAAAGGAAAATTAATTTGTCGGGCCAAAAGAAATTGAATTGGAAAAATTGGAATATAAAAATTTAAAAAGACCAAGCTAATATACTCGCTTTAATTAATTAAAGCTTTCAAAGAAATTAAATTCAGCGAGAATTGTCAGATATATAATTGTGTGAGAAGAGGAAAGAAAAAAATGCTTCACCAATAATAATCATTCACTTATAGTCAAAGCTTTGGTTTATTGGCCCAAAAAAAAAAAAAAACAAACTTCAGTTACAAATATTGCTCCCCTCTTCAAGTGGTTTAACAATTTTTATTTATTTTTCCTACTAAAGAGAGGGTAGTGGGAGAGAAATTTATCTATCTTTTCTCTGAGTTTTCTCAAGATTTTTCTCTTTTGATTGTTGTAATAGCTTTATCTCAGGGATTACATGAAGTCGGACAATTACTCTTGGTTAACAAGATGAATATGACAAGAAATTAAAAGAGCTCATATAATTATTCACGTTAATCTTTACCCACACCCTATTCCGAGCCAAGTTACATCCTGGACCAGCAACGTGTTGTGCAAATTTGAAGCCTAACATGGGATTAGCCTTAACTGCCGCAAGGACGTGCCACATCGTTTTGAAGTCCAAAGATTAGACTAACTCAAGAGCTTGTGGACTTATACTCAATGAGATATTGTTACTTTGTCCAAGTATAGATAAATTTTAGTTGATGTACGTAAATACCATATCAGATAAAGTTGGGTTTTATGAATAAAATATATAGAGAAAAAAGATTCAAAAACTTAAGTCATGAGATTTTAAATTAAGATATGATATTCTTTCACTACTCTTCACTCGTTTGTTGTCTCCCCCATTTTCAAACATTTTCTCTCCATTCCTAACATATCCCAAACAAGTTTCGCTTGGGACTTGAAAGCCTATATTGTGCACAGGTTCAAACCAAAAAAAAAAAAAAAAGATTAGCCTTGGATGCAGCAAGGACTTGTGTGTGCGCGCCATGTTGTTTGAGTCTTAAAAATGAGATTGGCCCTAATTGCAAGAGCAAGGACTCTTGTATGGCATTATTCAATAAGGAGAGCTTGTGCACCCACATTTAAAAGCGTAAGTGAACTTGAATTGTTGTGTAGAGTCTCACATCAAATAAAATTAAATTTAATAACTAATACTCCTTCCATCCTTATATATAAGATGTTTTAAGGTGAATCATGCAAACTAATAAAAGTTAGTTATTTAATTAAAAGCATAACAACATTTCAATTTTGCCCCTAATTATTGTAAATAAAAAATAAATTTTTTTCAAAGTAAATTAATGAGAGTATTTATATTTTTTCTTTTCAATTTAACAAGAGTATAATGGTCCATTCATTTAAAAAATATGCCAATAATCCCTTATATTTAGGGACAAAAAAAGGTTCTAGAAGGCCTCTTATATATAACAAGAGAGGGAGTATATAATAAAAGAAGAGTATCCATAAACTTGATTATTATGGTTTTGAATTAATAAGATGTGGTGTTCTTCCATCACTCTTGCCCTAGGATTATTTTGCACAATATTTACCTAACATTTCATTTGAAAAATTAACTAAACAGTTTTTGGGATTACTCTAAAACAAGTCAAAGTCCTTCTACAGACACCAAAAGGCATGTAGTAGGTATGTTTAGCACTGCACAAAAGGAAGTACGTCTTCTTTAATTTCTGTGTAATTAAATTAGATACTAAATATGTGTCCTTAATGAGAGACATCAATATCAAGAAGAATTTACTTAATGATTTAAAAATGTTAAAAAATGACCCTAAAAGATGAAAAAAAATATAAAACTTCTTTTGAAGAATCAAAATTAATATTTATATCCTCTTTAAAGTTATTAAATATAGCTATACTTTTTTAAAATTATTAAGATAATAATAAAATATTAAATTTAGGGTGTAAAGATAATAACTTAATAAAAAGATATAAAACAATTTTGAAAGGACTCGTGAAAACATTATTTTTCAAAGAAAAGATCTTACAATTTTTCAGGGGAAAATAAATATTATTATTGTGCATTGTACAAAATATGTGAAAATAGAAAATTCACCTAAATATTATTTTCCCTTAATTTTACTGAAATTACACAAATATCTATATCTATTTTAAAAACAAAAGATCAAATTGGAAGTTAGAGTTTTAATTTAATCTAGGGTGCACATGCAATTGCACTAAAAATTAACTGAGAAAGTTTTGTGGCCCTTAAAATTTACCCGACTTAACTTGTATTAGTCGAAGTTTAATGCCCTCCCTTGGGTAAAAAGAAAAAAAATAAGAAAAATTACAATTAGATCTCACATAAAAAAATTAATTATTAGTTAAGAGATTCATTGACAATTAATTATGTTATCAATAGTGTTGAGTTTAGCAATTAATAGACTTTATAGTAATTAATTTTTTTGTGTAAAATTTTAATGTAATTCTTCAAAAAAAATATGAACCAAACAAGATATCAGATATCATTTTCATGGAGTTCAATCCTAAGTAGAACTTCTCCTTCATATAATAATCCATAATATATGATAATGATGATGATTGATGAGATCACACATATCACGTGGAACTATTTTAATTATCAGTCTTCAGGTCTTTAATTTCACGCAGCACAATTTTCAATCAGTCTTCTGCTTCGATTCATTGCCAGCAATTTCCCACTTGCCTTGAGCAACTACGGCGAAGCTTACCTCTTCTTTATCAAAGCTATCATGTCATTTCATGGCCAACAATATTGCCAACACAACCTCATACTGTATCTGTGGACCCCACCACTGTGTGTGACTGTGTGTCTATATATTGGCGTATGCATATGATCGACATCGTCACTTGACCACTTCTACGTCCTTACACATTCTTGTCTCATCACTAAAACCCTATTTCTCTGATGAAGATGGAACAAGTAGCCAGCACCAACGCACAAGGATGTCTCATGGATTCTCCGGTTCCGTCGTCGTCTTACCGGGGAGCTCGCAAGCGAAAATGGGGCAAATGGGTGTCGGAAATCCGTGAGCCCGGCAAGAAAACTCGGATATGGTTAGGAAGCTATGAGACACCGGAAATGGCAGCCGCCGCATACGACGTTGCAGCTTCACACTTCCGAGGACGGTCGGCTCGACTTAACTTCCCGGACTTATCTGGAGATCTTCCACGGCCGGTGAGCTCCCGAGCAGAGGACATCCGAGTGGCAGCTCAACAAGCTGCATTAATGTTCAGGAGACCGTCGAGATGTCAATCCACGAGTGACGCCGCCAGAGGCGGCATGGTTCCGGCCACGGCAGGGCTGTCGCCGAGCCTGCAGATTCAAGCCATAAATGAGTCGCCGCCGTTGAATTCGCCGATGATGTGGATGCAAATGGCTGAAGCACTCATGTTAGGGCTTGATGATCAGTCTATAGCATTATATAACGACGACGACGACGGCTTAGAACTGAGAAGATGGGAAGAAATCCTATATGGAATTTCTAATTGAATTAAGTGAGGTTCTTAAATATTAAATAGTGATGATTATTTTTTTTTTTAAAGCAGAAGTAATTCTTCAATGGCAAATTTTAGAGTCCTATTTGTGGGTTTCGCTCTGCTTCTGTTTATATGAGTGTGCTCAATCTGGAAAATATTACTGTTATGTGTATTTTATTGTTGTGTATTTTAATAAGTTAAAGGGAGTTTTGTATATTTTAACTTTTTATTTATATGTATATGCATGAATCACTTATTAACTCTTTTTTTTTTCATAATTTATTTATATGTACCTGCATAAGATATCGTAATGTAGTTTATAATTCAGCATGTTGAACATGATGAGAGGAGAATTATCGACTATCGAGGATTTGAGTGAAAAGTCATCATGACTAAATTCAGGGACGGATGAACCAACTTAATGAAGGGCCAAATATAAAATTACATTATAGTGGGGAGACTAAAGTAAATTTTATCATTTTGACAAACAAACGAAAAGTAATTTTAACAATTTTTTTGCATCATGTGCTTGACCCCCTGAATCCATCTCTGACTAAATTGCAAGCATTTTGAAACTTTTAGGGGCAAACTTACAATGTTCGAATAGGTTCAAGGGTTAAAAGTGTAAATATGATTTTTAACTCGTCAATTTAGCCAATTGTATCTTTAGAGCATCAGTCGAGTAGTTAGTTGATCAAATGCAAAATTTTTAGGGAGGGAAAAAGGTAAGAATTTGAATTTTAAATTTTAAATTTTACATTTATAATTAAAAGATTTAAAATTATGTGTTTGGATAACGTAAAAGATTTCAAAAAATAAATAGAAACAAACTGAGACTCAGAATAAAAACGAAAAAATTACAAGAGTATAAATGGATTAATGTGAATGGGATATGTTCACAAGTAGTATTAATGTGGTTTTTTTTTCCTGATTTTTAGAGATCATTTAGATTTTCAATTCAAATGTCTTTCATTCAAGCTAAGTTCATTGTGTTGGTTAATTTTTCGATTATATAGTGTGAAAATACCTATTTTTATGAATCTTTTAGTAAAACAATACAATTTTGATCTTGCTCTAAAGTTTTCATATATATATATATATATATATATAGAGAAATTATATACGTTTAGCAAGTTTGTTTTTGAAATTTTCCGTTTATTTAGTGATATTTTAAGAATGCTTCTTGAGGAGTTTTCGCCTGAATTTCAAAGTAAGGCAAGTTCTCAATCGATAAATTTTTATGGGTATTTTCAACTAGCAGGACTGATGTTTTAAATGGAAGTCTCTAATTTTAAAATTGGAATAATAAAATTTCAGTTTTTTTAAATTTGTCTTAATTATGACTTTCAACCACGGTCCTTCTTACTTCCCTCAATTTTCTGACATAAAAAAATTCAAAATAGCCAATGTAAAAAAAATCCTTCCTTCAATAATGTGATGTATTTGGCTTTTGTATAAAAAAATAGTGTGATTTGCTCTCTCATTTTTTTTAATTATCAAGATAGTTCTTTAAATTTTAAAATACAAACTAATTCTCAAATTAACCTAATCTACAAGGCTAAAGTATATTAATGACTTGACATATATATGTAGCTAAATGAAAACCAATTAACCCTTATATCAGTTTAATTTTTATCAATATAATCACTTGTATATGCTTCACTTTGTTTTTTTTTTTTTTTGCTTTTAAAAAATTATAAGTCTGTTTTTCCTTTGACCTAAATAATTGCACTTCTTTTTATTAATGTAGCTATATGACTATCATTAATATTCTATTATCTATGAATAGTAAATTTTAACAGTATTATCTTCTCTTTAAATAATAAGAATTAAATCAATAGTTGAGACAAATTTTAGGGACTAAATCAATAAAAATTAAATTAATAATTGAGATAAATTTGAGAGATTAAAAATTTTATTATCTCTTTAAAATTTGTATCATTTAATTGAGTTATAATTTTTTGTGGATATCTCTCAAAGTGCTTTATATCTAAGCACTCTCTTTGATTGTGTTCTTTTTTTTTTTTTCCAAAGACTTATGAGAACACTTTTATAAACAAGCACTCCCATAGGGTTAAGATTTAGGAGTGCTTTGACCTTAAATCGCTCCAAAAAACTTTCACATATATATATTGCAGAGCGCTTTCTACATGAGCGCTCCGAACGATGTGCTCTCATGTGTATATTTTATAGTAGTGTAATTAGGATTTTATTAATTGAATTTCAAAGTGAGGACTATATTTGATATTTATATATGATTCCTATGGAATTAACTTGTTCCCAATGTATGTGGTTAAACCTTAAAAAGCTATGGGTATTATCTTGCAAGAAGGCTAATAAGAATTACTTAGTTTTCAATTTCATATTGTTCAGTTCAAGCCCAAAAAAAAAATTGAAATTCTTATAATATTGTTCAATTACTTGTTTGGTAAGGGTATGTGAGTGCACACGTGGATGCATTTGTATGCAAACAAAATCCATTAATTGGGACATTGTTTTTGCGACTGTGACTTGGAGTCTCTGGAAGAATTGAAATGAACATATTTTCAACAATAGGACTACCACAATTATTGCCTTTGTGGCTAAAACCTTGCTATTTGCTTGTGTCATTCAAGACTACATTGATGATGATAAGGTTGTCATTGAACGAAAAATTACTACCCATTTTAAGTGGGAACCATTGCCTGTAGAGTGGGTGAGAATGAACCTTGGTGCTGCTTGTGGCTAAGAAGCTGAGCTAAGAAACTTTGGAGTGTTTTTGTTAGAGTTCAAGTGGCTAAGAAGCTGAACTTCACCAAACTTGTGGTGGAGACCGATTCATTGACTGTGGCAAAACCTGTGGAGAGATGTGTTAGGTCAACAAACTTTCACGTTTTGGTAGCTTAAGCAGACTCTTGGTATAATCACGTCAAATTGGCAGAGATAAGAGTGAAGCATGTTTTTCATCAAGGAAACTCATGCGTCGATGCACTTATATCAGGTTCAGCCTCAATTTCGTTAAATATGAGAGGTTGGAGGATCAAACTTGGGAAGGCTCCCCTCATAATATTTATAGCAAGAAAATAATCCTACATATATTACTGTGGGTAAACCTTGTCTCCTAACACTCTCTTAGAAGGGGTCATCTAGTGTAGGGCTTAGGGGGAGATGTGTCTAGCACAGAAAAAGTCCAAGGAAAGAAGCCCTTGGTGAGCTAGGGCTGTTACACTTGCCAAGCTAGGAGTTTAACATCAATTTAAATGTGTTATCTTACAAGAGCCGGCTATGAGCATTCCACAATGAATTTGTCAAAATGTTGACTCTCGTGTTGTTTTTAATTTATGAACTTAGTTTGGATTCTGAACCATTTGTTTATCCAAAAAAAAAGTTTATATAATTAACACTTTAAAATAAGATAAAAAGTTAAAAATATTAACATTGCAATTATCAATCATTTGGAAACTCATATAACTATTAAATAATATTCATGCTAAAGAGGGGTAAATTTTGATTTCAATTAAATTTTATGTAGGTTTTAAAAATGAGAGAGATTTCTCTATAATTAAGGTAAAATAGAGGGTAATTAATGTATTTTAGTCTTATTTCCAATTGTCTCTAATTTGAGTTTTTTTTATTTCCTAGATTAATTAATTCCAGATTGTGTTTTTATGCTTATATAGGGATCTACCGTTACTAAATGAAGTTTAGAGTCAAGACATGATGTTCTCTTATATAATAATACTCATTTAAAAAATTAAAAATTAAAATGTGTTAGAGTAATATGAAAAGACAGAATAGTCATAATATTTTATGAATCAGGGCAAAATTGGAATTACAATATTATTTTTATTCTATGATGGGAAAAACATTTCTTTAGCGTGGAGGAGACAATCTCCCCTCGCATAAGGGAATCATCAATTCCTTGATGATTTAAGTAATGCTGGTAAAATCACTCATGTCTTTATTATAAGACATGTTTTAGAAGATATGGATGACGATTCATATATATGATCATTATTATAAGTTACTTAATGAGATATTAATTAATTAATATTTTATATATTATTTTTATTTAAAGTTAATAATTGTAAAGTAGAGCCTGAGCCAATGGGCGGGTCATGTGGGCTCAAACCTTAGTTATCTTAAAATTGGCTTCTTTTTCTTCTTCTTTTTTTTCCTTTCTAATCCAACACTTATTGATCAATGATTGAGCTCAAAGGGGGCATGAAAGCCTCTTTTTTTTTTACTTTTAAAAATTTAATTTTTACATTATAATATTTCTTACTCATTTTCTAAAATATAACTACTAATGTTCAAATATTAATAATAAGTCATGTACATAAAAAATTAAAATATCCCATTTTTAAGTGGTAAAAATATGTACAAGTTTAAATAAGTACCCCAATCCTTTTTGTTCATGACTTACATGGGCTGAACTTAGAAGTTAGAAGCCATTTTATGTAAAAATATCTCAATTTTCAAAGTTTCAGCCTTAAAAAATAGGTTTATACGGGTAGCTCAATAAACTTGGTTTTTATTCCCTACTCTAATTATGTGAACAAGAATGTAAGGGAAATATGAAATTTTTTATTTAAATATATGTAAAATTAAAAATTTTCTTAGTTCCGTTGAGATAGTTATATATGCTCTATATTAAAGATAGAAGTTGGTATAAATATTACGCTTAAGAATTATCTGTCAATATTCACTTGTTGACCCTTTAATTTCATTCATACAAAGCGTGACTTTAGAAGGGACCAATCATGACCAGTATCATAATTGACAATTCACATTGTGATCACAACGTTCTCACTTGTCTTGTTTCAACTTCCTTTTTATTTCCTAACTTTTTGTTCACGGCTAAGCTCACAATTTTTCCACTTCCACACAACTAATGACTAGTATATAATATAAATTTTATAATAAGTTGCCCTATTTTATAAATCATGAACCATGAATGGCGTAATTTACTTCAAAATTTAATTTGAACCACTAAAAAAATATTTCACTTGTCATATAACACATTGTGGTTTTTATTCTTCATTACTACAAAGAATATTCAATCAAAAAAAATAACTTTTTAAGGAAACCTGAGTATTCTCATGTTAAATTA